TTTAAGGACAAGATCAACTCCAGTGAATTAGCAAGACAAGCTGAATATGAGTGTTAGCAAGGAAGGGATGAAGTATGCTGTGAAATACAATCTCATCCCTTTTGTATTTATTATCACCAGCATATTCTGTCCCTTCATAAAACTGACAGTTACTTTTGGTACAGTATGATTAGAATTTCTTAAAGCACTAGAAATACTTTGTAATTTATTTTCCCATAAAAGTGACTTTTCACATTTGTTGTTCAAAGTTCTGTAAAGGAAATATACTGATACTGAAATGAATGTATACAGGATATTTATGTTAATTATAAATAACATTATTTATTAATATTTTAATATATTTAAAAACTGTGTATTTCTCTGTGTTTTTGTAAATGTACATGACGTTTTGTTAGTTGCAATTAATAAAAGATCATTTTGGCTAAGACTCCATGCTTTTCTTCTTGACTCAGATTGAGGTGTAGGAGCTTTATGTTTGCTGGTGGAACCTCTGCTTCTTAAACTTCCCCGTTCTTAAACAAATCCCCGTTTTAATAAACCAGTTTTTAAGCACTTTTTTTGTTTCTACGGTCATAAAGTATAAACTAACATGGGAAATTAAAAATGTATGAATTCACCAGAGAACAAAACCAAAAAATAGCACATTTCCAAAATAAAATTCTGAACTAAAAAATTTGTGTTCAGATTCCATTTGGGAAAAATAAGCACATGATGTCAATATGTTTCTATGGAATCCTGCTTCACTGATTTCATGACTCTATAATTATTCTTCTACTGACCCCCGAATGTTGTTCATATCTTAACACATGACATTGGACCTGTTTAAATTACAGTTTAACCCAAACTTTTACTGAGTTCTCTGAAAAGTGATTTTTAATCTTTTTTTGCAGATCATATGGTGACATGTTTTTCAATGTATTTTTCTTTAATACAATAATTGAAAAATAATAAAGATGTTTTGTTTAATTAATTTGCATTTTTCTTTTTTCATCAAGTTTGTGTCTAGATTAAATGCTTTTGCATCCAGTGCTCATCAGTATGAAATCAAGATGGGTTCAAATGTAAGAAATAGACCTTTTACTGTATACTCTTTTAATTCTAATGCAATAAAAGAGATTTCAGAAAGACTCATTAATGTTTAGATGCCTTTGGTAAAATGTTGAAAAAGACACAGGAAGACACACTAATAGATTAATAGAAACATTGTACACGTTTGTAGTATGTGCAATACAAAATGTGTCTAAAATAAGACGAGTTTCACAACTTTGTAGTTTGTAGACGAGTGGTACTTTGTTTAAAAGTACTATCTCACAATCCTCTGGTACTACAATGTTACTGGAGATATTTGGGTGGGGAAAAAATTAAATGTTTCAGATTTCTTTATCTATTAAAATATCCTAAATAGTTTTATAATTGAAGTCTGAAGAAATGCCTAATCATGGACACAATAATTACACAGTTTCCTTCCTTTTGCGTCTGGATAATTTTCCCTTGTGTGACGACATTTAATCTAAGTTCTCTTATTTTCAATTTAAATGATTAAAATTAGTTCCTTTATTTCATTGATCTGTATTTCAATTCCAATATCAATGAAATGAGCATGTAAAGATACAAATTTAGTGTACTTCATACTTTAGTGTTAAGTCATCTGGCTGAAGAAATGAAATGTAATCATTTTAAAACTAACCTCAAATTATGGAAATTTTAAGCAAATGAAAATTATGACAATTAAATGAATTATAAGTGAATTAAAACATATAAAATAAAAACACATAAGCGTTCCGTAAAACCACTCAAACTAAAAATAAAAAATCAACCTCATTAATTATCTTTTTGGGGTTTTCAAAACAAAATCATGATTTATTAAACAATACATTACAGTGTTTGATTTTAATACCCTGTACCACTGATGACATATTTTTGTTATTACATTTTCATTTCAACAACCCTTAAACTGTGAATAAATCATAATACAACAACCTTCAAAATGCAATCACTGATTTAATAACACAGCTGTTAAAACACATTTGTATGGTTCATACAGTATATTGTATGACACTGTATAACTTAAAAAATTAAAAGTGTATACCATTTGTATTATTATGCCAATAAACAAAGCCAAAATCGTTATCTTTTCATGATGTTTTATGGGGAATATATTATAGGACAATGTGCTCATGGGTTTGAATTTCGGCAGAGAGGAACTTCAGATAAAAAACTTGTCTACTCTTGTAAATCAAATCACACTGAAATCATTTCAATAGAGGCATAGCCATTTTTAATATCTTTTGAAATAACCAAATAAAAAAAAATTGCAAAGATGGTCTTAAATGAGATCGGTCACACAATTGTATGTATAGTACACAGGTGATACAGTGTTTTCAATGACTACCCCACAATCCTTTCAAAGTATAACATTTTTGGAGACATTTAGACTTGAAATTTGTAATTAAATGTATTATGCATATAGAAATCCTACATCTGTACATAAATCCCATAGCGTATTACATTGAAAAGTAAGATAAACTGCTCAGTCATATACACAATACAGCAAATTACTCAATTTCCTTCTGCGTCTGAAAGGTCTGGATAACTTTCCTTTGCATCACATCATTGTTGTAGGTTCCGTTATGACAAGGCTATATAAATTGAGAGAGAGCCATCTCTGAATTATCCACCTCGACTACACTACATCTGAAGACTTCGGACTGCCTGTGAGGATACAATCACCTAACGATGCCGGAACAAACAGAGCTTATTCACAGCTTCAAGGGCATTCCCTTCTCAACCACGGTCTCCACAGAGCTGCTCCAAGCCCTGGACACTTTTGAGGCCAGAGAAGATGATGTAGTCTTAGTGTCCTATCCAAAATCAGGTAAGAACATTCCTCTCCAGAGCATGGGTTTTCTGAAAACCTTCTTTCTGTCTCCCACAGTTATGTGGATTTTTGAAACCTGACAGCTTGATTTCACACGTGATATTTTGGCTTCTCCCAGGCACCCATTGGCTGACAGAGATCATGAAGAACCTGTACCACTGCAACAACGACAACAACGCAACAGGCCAGGTGACCCTGACTTCAGCTCTGGAGTTTGGAGATCTCTCCAAATTTGACGAGCTGAGGAACCTGCCCAGCAAGAGACTCATCCCCACACACCTCAGCCATGACATGATCCCTGTGCAGTTCAAAACAAAGAAATGCAAGGTAGGCACTGGCAACCTCCAGTACACTTCTCAACTCTTAAAGAGTAGTTGACAATGACTGGGCGTTTATTAGTCCTATACATGATGTTCCTAAAAGTTGTGATTAATGAAGTATGTCTAAATTTACCTTTGTTTTCTTTGCAGATGATTTATGTGATCAGGAATCCCAAAGACACTGCAGTTTCAATGTTTCACTACTACCAACAAAACCCTCTTCTGCCCAAGATTGAGAAGTGGTCAACCTTTTTGGACATGTTCTTGAAAGGAGAAGGTAAGCATATTGTTCAGCCTTGCTTCGTGTTCGGTACAGATTTGTAAACAATAAGATACATTCCACTTTCTTAGAATTATGCTA